TTATTACTCAAAAGATTTCTCTGAAAAGAGATGTTACTTAAAACTCCTCATGAACTCTTTTGAAAATCGGTGTTTCCCCTCATTTTAAATGTAAAAACATTTACTCTTGGTAATATTTAGTTTCCATATATTCATTTTGAAAAAAATGAAACTCAACTTTACTCTTCCTCAACTCAAGTACTCAAGTCTTTAAAACAAGTTTAAAAGATTATAAAAGACTTCTCAAAAAGACTCGAAAGAACTCTCAAGACTTTACTCTTAACTCTATCTTGAATTTGAATTATGAATTCAAGGGTTATGATTCATGTTATGAATGATCTCTCGATGTTTAGATGTAGTTTAGAGGGTGGATATCAAGTAGAAAACATAGGTACGATTCGAGAGAAGTCATACAGAAAGAAGGTCGGAAGGGTAAGGGACCTGGCGACCCTGGCGCACTGAGTAGTGTCCAACCCTTGAACTACTGAAGGCAGTTAGGGCGCACTGAGTGGCGCGGTGTGCCAAGCCCCAAAACTACAGAGCACTAGTTAGGGCGCACTGAGTGGCGCGGCGCCCCAAGCCCCTGCCCCTGCCCCTGCCCAGACTTTGATGAATTTTCTTGCTTCAAATTCATGTCTAACTCCTTTAGAATCGAACGATTTCCCTCAAATTCTTATGGATTCTTAGACCCAACATAATTACAACGAAGTCCACTCTAAATTACTCAAGATCAATACTCAAACACAAGATCCTCATCGCAAGAACTCAACGAAACCACATACTTAAAGAATATATCACAAACTTCAAGAATTCATCAAGAACTCAAACATACTCAATCTTTATAGATGGATTCGAATATGTAAATCATGATTGACATGTGGGTGAAAGAACCCAACACTATGAACTTACATACCTCGATTTGGTGAAATCCCTCGACAAATCTCACGAATCTTGATGAACGCCTTGAACCTTTCTTCTTTTCCTCTTCTTGAACTCTTCTCAAAACTCTAAGCGTATTTGGGATTATAAAAACTGACCCGAATCAGATTTGACCCAAAAAATATTACTAAATTCGTTTAAACCTGATGGGGTAAGGAAAAGACCAAAATACCCCTCATTAATTCGGGTAACTTTCCTTAAATGGACATGCTAACTTCAAACGGGAATATCTCCCTCATCCGAACTCGAAACTTAGCAAACTCAGTAGCGTTGGAAAGAGAATTCAAAGACCTTTCATTTGACATCTTATGGGCCACCTAACACATCATGTACCGAAAGTTATGGTCGTTTGAAGTTGACCCAAAACTCATAACTTAAGCATAACTTGTAAAATTTCAGATTTGGCTCTTTCCAAATTAGTTCTTTCTAAATTTAACTCTTTCAATTACCGAGGTGTTACAATATCATCTCTAGTAGCTCCTCTAAATAGAATTTTGTTTTAATTATTTTTTTTATTTTGACTTGATATAAAATTTTAAAGGCCTAAGTCATCTGCAACCCCTTAAAGTTATTCGCATAATTCACTTAGACACCTCAACTAAGGCTAGTACCTATTGAACACCTAAAATATTCAAAACGTGTATCTATTAAGCACAAAATACTGATGTGGCAAAAAAAATGTTCTTCACTTTCCATGGGCGCGTGAAGATACCCAAATAACATTTTCCTTTTCCTTTTTCCTGAAAAAATACACCTTTTTGCTTTATTGACCCTTGACATTAATTAATAAATAAACTAAAAAAAATTTAACTAACAATATAAAAAAAAGCAGGATGTCTTCTTCTTCACAGGATGATGCCTCAACGATTTCCATCCAATATCATTCCACCATCTCTGTACTTTCCAGTTGCCTCTCATGCCACCCCACCCCCTCTAACTTTCTCTCTCACCCTCTCCAATTATTCTTCTTTTTTCAGGTTTCAAATATTCCGGTGAAACTCCATTTATTCCGATGTAAGAAAACTGAATCAATTATTTTTCAGGTAAAAAATTGTTATTATTTCTTGTAACTGTGATAAATATTTATTAATCGAAAGAAAATGATGGCAATGGTAGGAGGTGCTGCCGATGAAAGGGAATGAAAGAGTAGGGCGATGATTTATTTGCGTGTCGGCGCCGACGGAAAGGGGAAACAGTCTCAACACGAAGAAGAAGAAGAAGAAGACGTACGGATGGTGGGGGTGTTAATTAAAAGAGTTCATTTTTATTTTCTTAAAATTCTTTTTGGAATATTTAAATAGAATTTTTTTAATTGAATTCAACCGCCACGTGTCATTGTTTCATTGGTACACCTGTTATATATTTGCGTTTGAGTTACACACAGTTTTGTTTTTCAACTGATTATCATTTTGTGTCTAATAGATATAAATTTCTTAAGGTTAAAGTGTTCAATAGGTACTCGCCCTAGTTGAGGTGTCTAAATGAATTATGCGGACAACTTTAAGGGGCCGCAGATGACTTAAAGGATCAAATGCATCATTGAATTTTGAAATAAGACTTATTTATGTTATCCGTTAAAAATTTAACCCAATGATGTCATTTTCTTATGAGAAAAGGCTTATCCATGTCATTATTTGTTAACTAAAATGACATGGATAAGTCAAACTTTTAACGGATGGTATAGACTATAGATGAATCTTTTTTCAAAGTTTAATGACATATTTGAGTTTTTTTCCCTTTAAAATGATTTGATTAATGATGTAGCCGAATCATAATTGACAACGTGTAAAAAATAATTTTGCAAAATTTTAAGTGTTTCCAGTTAATAAACAATAGTATGGATGCGTCTTTTCTCAAATGAAAATGCATAGATGAATCAAACTTTTAACGGATAGATGAGCCTTTTTTTAAAGTACCATAGTATATTTGAATTTTCTTTCTTACGAAAATAAAGAATACTTTCGAATTTTAAATCATATAATTTAAACTAAAGAATATGAAAAGGTTTAAAATATCTTAAACATATTGAAAATCATTCTGAAATCTCCTCCTTTGTTTATTGAATCAAAATTTCCCATAACACTTTCTTTTAATTAAAAATGCACTCTTATATTGGAATGATGTCATTTCATTCGTAACTAATGAGTCTTCTAATTAATCAAGCAACATTAATTTATTGATCCATATGGCCTTTTAACCTCACCATTAGAACCTAATCTATCTTAATCATTCCATTCGGTGATAAAATTCATCATTTTGATTAGGCAGAATGATCTGGGAGATCCTTATACTTGGCTCTGTTTGTCAGATGAACCCTTATACTCATGACTTTGCCAATTGAACCCTTAAACTCACTAAAACGCAATACTTCTATGTGTGTGAGTGTAGCACAATCGCTTACACATGGAATTCCACGTCATTTTGTAGAATTTCATGTCATTTTAAATGCCACATAAGAAATTAAAAGCTAAAAAAAATAAAAAATAAAAATAAGTTTGCGCATTAAAATTTTCAGTATCATGTTCTTCATATTTGCTCATAATTGAGCACTAAATTCATGTCAATTGGTCTAATTCTTCCTATTTGACATGAATTTTTTTTTACACTAAAAGCTTACCAATACAAACCCAATAATTTTTCATCATAATTTTGAATTAATTTCATAAATTCACAAAACTCATTTGTTATTTTCAAGCTTCTTCAGGAAGTTTTTCAACTTTTCAATATACATCATTACTCTTCAAGATTTCAAAATTATCTAAACTTCAATCTTTCACAAACAAGATTCGAAAACCTAGATTTTAGAAGTGTGTAAATCGACCAAGATTCATAGAGAAGAATTTTGAATTTTAAAATTAAAGAAACTAAAATGGTTGAGATAAGAGATTTGGTTAGGTGGGGTGAGGGGCGGGTGTTAAGGAGAAGAAGAAGGGGGTGGGGTAGGGTGGCGTGGTGGGTGGTTTCAAGGAAGAAGGAGGGTACGGGCGAGGGAGTGGGATGGGATAGGGGATTGATGGGTTGACTTTTTCTCTTTTTTAATTTTTTTTTTTTTATGATTTTTAATATAAAAAATATATATTCACTCGCTTTAAGGGGCGTGCAGTCAAATATTTTTCCTCCTCAACAATATTAGTGCCACATAAGTTCGGTCAATGGTCAAATATGTTTAAAATATTGTGTTTTAGTAAGTTTAAGAGTTCAGTTGGCAAAGTCATGAGTATAAGAGTTCAACTGACAAATGAAACCAACTACAAGGGTCTCTCAAGTCATTCCGCCTTTTGATTATCATACATCTTGACAATTTCTAGAAGTTGGCCATAAATTTTAACAAGACATAATACATAGATATGTCATTTAACTTCACCTCATTTTGTATTTATGTCCTTCAATTTTGAGTGTTTACAAGTAGACACTTAAATTTGAATAAAATTGAACAAGTAAATATATGAGTCATACGTAATATAATATACATAGGATGCCACGTAGGACCCAAATTGCTATGTAGAATGTCACGTAGAACGTGCGTATCTATTTATTCAATTTTATATAAGTTTAAATATTTACTTGTGTATATTCAAAATTGGAGGACATAAATGTAAAGTAAGGCCAAGTTAAAAGGCATATTTATGTATTACGCCTTCCAGTGTTTTAAAAAACGTTTTTTTGGGCGAGTCTCGGGTGAGTCTCGGGGCGGGGCGTACCAAAAATGCACGCAAATTGAAGACGTAGTTCCATAGAGCACAAGTCCTAGAATTTGAGGTGTAAGATCCGAGCATAAAAACGTAAGTCCTGGGAGTAAAAATGGAAACTCCGGGCGTTTTTTTTTTTTGAATTATTTTGCTTTAAATCATATTTTTTATTATAGGTGTAGTGATATTTCTGAAATAGTAATTATAATACTTTTTTTCTTCATTATTGGTTGTCAGTACTTTCTCAAATAAAAATCATAAAACTTACGTCTCCGTATTTCGAAGCTTACGTCTCGTTTCATACGATATAAAACGTCTCACCTCACCCCGTCTTTTAAAACACTTCTGCCATCTTATAATTTTGGCACGCAATATAAATTTCCGTGAAAAATTTCAACAACGCATTTTTCAATCAAATTCTAAATTTGATATTCAACCATTTAATGTGAGTCCTGATAATTTCGAATTGTTAATTTCAACTCAAACCTTCAAAAATCAAGCTGATCGATTCAAAATTTCCGGCGGAAACTGTCACCACTCTCCCTTCACTGTTTTCTTTGGCATTTTCTCCATTTTTCATCGGCGGCTAAATCCGAAATTGTGAGTTTCCCCTTGGGTTTGTTTTATTTGGAATACGTATGTATTAATATTTGCTATTAATCAATTTTATGTAAGATTCTATTATTAAAAAAAAAAAATAAGGATCTGAAAAATACTCTAAATTTGGTCGGATTTGCTGTTGCGATACTAAACTTTCACAACAACCTATTACCTCTCTAGACTATTTAATACTGTATTTAATACGATATTAAATAGTTAGGGAGGTAATAGGTTCTCATGAAAGTTTAGTATTGCAACAGCAAATTCAACCAAAGTTGGGGTATTTTTCAGAACCTTTATCTTAAAAAAAATACAACTATTTATCATAAGAATATGGTTCTTATTTGATTCTTGTAATCCCTGTTTCGAATAACTTATCTTTTGAGCTAGGGTTGCAAAGGTAGGAATAAGGTGTCTTTGAGCTGATTTATCGAAGACAATCTCTCTAACTGCACAGGCAGCAGTAAAGGCTGAATCGGTAGCAAAAGTATTATTTAGGGAGGACACCTATTGTATTTATAAATAAAACTAAAATTTTAATCTAGTTAAACAGTGTAATTTTCCGAGACATTCACATAAGTTGGCTCCATCACTGGTCTAGGTACATCTTACCTTCTCTATGCTCCACTCGTGAGATTATACTGTGTATATTGTTGTTGTATTTGATTCCTATTTGATATGTACTTCAAATAACTTATCTTTTGAGTGAAGGTCTATACAAAACATGCTCTCTAACTGTATAGATAGAGGTAAAGTCTAGGTACATTTTAACCTCTCCGTACCCACTTATAGGATTAAAGATATGTTATTGTTGTATTGGATTACTATTTGATAGAGGGTTGAGCTAGTGGTCAAATCTTAGGATACTTCAGCTATAGAAAAAGGAAAGAAAAGGGAACTGAAGTCATAAAAGATGAATATGTGTCATCATAATTTGAGTTTTCTGCTATTGTGATGAAATTCAATTACCAAATTCTATGTACTGATTACTTATAAAAGAAAAAAAAGAAATTCTAAAGAAATGATTTTGATCTCCTCATACTAGTAATATTAGTAGTCCTTTGTCCATTGATTTTTGTTACTACTTGTTGTTTCTTTGCTTCGATTATTATATCATTTTGCTATTGTTACTGTTCCACTTTTCTATATGTCATGTAATGATTTCTCTAGTTATAGTTATGCCTGTTTTTTTTTCTGTAATTATATCTTATTAAAATTGCCTTTGCAATGTGTTGTTTGAGCCAAAGGTCTTTCGTAATTAGGTACCTTTTCCTCACTTGAGGAGCATATTGATTTGCAGAAAATCTGAAAATAGGAATCTGTTTCCTCAATTTCTATTAGATTTCGATAACGAGCTTAAATAGAGTGAAATGGACAATTAGGATTATCTCGCCAACTCAACTTGCTTGAAATCGAGCTGTAGTAATTGATGTAGTTTTCTGCATATTACATCTCATTTCAGATTTCAACTGATCGATAACTTTAGTACCAATGGAAGCTAAATTTTTCCGCTTTCTCAAGATTGTTGGGGTTGGTTACAAGGCGAAAGCAGAATCTCAAGGCCGTCTCTTATACCTTAGGCTTGGTTGTAGCCATGTGGTTGAACTGACCGTTCCACCTGCAGTTCGCGTGTTCTGTTTCAAACCCAATATCATATGCTGCGCCGGGATTGACGAGGAGAGGGTACAGCAATTTGCTGCTTCTGTAAGGAGCTGTAAACCTCCTGAAGTTTATGAATGTACATTGATGAAGTTATAAAAAAGAAGCAGGGGAAGAAATCAAGGTAATGCATCTTGCCAGGGCTTGGCCTAGAGGTTAAGAGGCAAATGGCAATGCACATATATAGTTCTTGATTAGCTAAGCTGTTTTCTAAAAATAACGTTTGATCATTCATAAACAAAGAACATACAGAAATGAAGTTAAGAAAAAAAAAACAGTAGAGATAAAAAAGTGACTACTGATTCCTCATAGTTCTGTACTTCCAGTTCTCATCTTTTGGCCAAGGTTGCCAGCAGCATCTGAGGCCTTCTCTTTGGCATCTTCATACTTTTCCTTGGCTTGCTCATTCATAGTATCCTTTGCAGATTTATATGTTTCATAAACCTTCGATTTTGCATCTTCATATTTATCAACTTTATCTTTCCCTTGGACCAATGCATCCCTCGTCGAGTCTTTTGCATCAATAGTACTTCTATCAGTAGTCATTTTTATGGTTTGGTTGTATGCATCCGATACTTCACCTTCCACCGTGTCTTTTGCATTAACAGCACTACTAGATGCCATGTCTTTGGCCTGATTCAACTTATCAGATGTGTATCTATAAGCGTCTTTGGCGCGATCCTTGGCCTCAGATGATTTATCTTCCACCGTGTCTTTTGCATTAGCTGCACTACTAGAAGCCATGTCTTTTGCTTGATTCATCTTATCAGATGTGTATCTATAAGCGTCCTTGGCCTCAGATGCTTTATCTTCCACTATGTCTTTTGCATTAACAGCACTACTAGATGCCATGTCTTTGGCCTGATTCAACTTATCGGATATGTACCTGTAAGCATCGTTGGCGCTATCCTTGGCCTCGGATGCTTTATCTTCCACTGTGTCTTTTGCATTAGCTGCACTACTAGAAGCCATGTCTTTTGCTTGATTCGTCTTATCAGATGTGTATCTATAAGCGTCTTTGGCGCGATCCTTGGCCTCACCTACCATGTCTGAAGCCTTGTCCATGGCTTGACCTGCTTTGTCAGTGGCAAAATCATAGGCATGGTTAGCTTTATCCTTCACTTCCCTGCCCACTTGGGAAGCTGTGTTCATTCCATCATCCACTTTCTTAGCAGCGAAATCATAGGCCTCGGAAGCTTTATGTTTGGCTCCTTCTTTGGCATTGGCTGCCATGTCATAAGCATAAGCATAATGAACTCTCTCTTTCGCTTTATTATCGATATCACCTGCCAAACAGGAAGTCCACAACAAAATATTATACAACTACAAAGAACAGCATAGCTAAGTAAGAAATTTCACTGGATTTGTTGTTGTCCTACGTGCTTTCTCAGATGCAAAGTCATATACATTGAATGCACTATGTTTCCCTCTCTCGGTGGCACGATGAGCCATTTCAGCTGCTGCATCCATTGCTTGATTTGCCTTCTCGCAAGTAACATTCTTAGCGTCAGATGCCATGTTTACCATTCCACTAACCTTCTGAGTCGCCTCTCTTTCGGTTCCTGCCAGTAAAACTGATCATTAGTTACTCTTTCAAAATGTTTAGATGCTGCGAAGCGCATTACCGTATGCGGTAGAACTTATAGTGTCCTTAGCATCTGATGCTGCATCTTCTTGATACCTAAAGATTAAAGTAAATATGTGATCCGTGCAAGACATGTATATATTATAGCTAGTAAATAAAAAACCAGAGGAATTGTCTTACTGGGAGAATTTGGCAGAGGCCCAATCACCCAAAGAATTTGCTTTCTCTTTAGCACTATGCATAGCCTTTTCGCCTTCAATTTTCACCTCTCCGGTAGCCAAATTCGTTCTCCGCTGCCTCCTCCATCCAACACGAACACATAATCATCATCGCCGCTACCCATAGTACAAACAACACTCTCCTCTTCTCCATTTCTACAACTGAATCCTCAAAAAAAGAGCTATACTTAGTAATTTCAAACAATTTTAGTTAGTATTAAAGTAAATTTTGGGGAATTTTTCTCAACTGTGTAATGAAGAAATGGAGTGAAATAAGCAAGATATAAAAAGGGCGGTTTTTTTTTTTTAAAATAAAAATAAAAATTAGAAGAGGCGGTTGGTTTTCAAAAGGGCTAAATGAGACACGTGGCAGTATTTTGGATGGTGTGTGTAACGTGTTGTTCTCTGATTCTGCCACGTATGTCGAGTCACCTGTTAGTAGTACTTTCTCTTTTGTGGCTAAAGTTCCTGTTAAAAAAATAAAATTTTAAAATAGATAAAAAAGAAAATAAATTAGTATTCTCTTTTAGATGGAAATTAATCATATTTTAATTGAATCCCCCCAATTTTTAATAAAATATTTGTACTAATCATTTTCGATTTGAATTTGAAATTCCTTTATGTATATTTGAGTTTTTTTTATAATAATTAATTTAACTGTATAACATATGTTAAATATTTTAATCATATTAAAAATTTATCGTCTTGAAAATGATATTTATCAATCGAGTTAATCACTCCATACTTCTTCTCCTATCTATGATCTTCCTAAATTATCTCATAGGATTGAATCGCTTTTTCCCTGCTCATTTTATTAATAGGACGCTTAAATCTCCTTAATTTTGATGCACGTTCTTTTCAAAAATTTAACTCTAAATTTTAAATCAAAAGTTATTTTTATACAATTTTTGAACTGTAATAAAAATTAAATAGCAACATGAAATAATATTATTTTGGGAAAATTATGCGGATAAGCAAACATATACTAGTTAATTAGCTAATATAACTATAGCTTGAATTAATTACGACTCATAGCTTAATTTTAATTGTAATTATGTCACCTCTCTCCTCTCTTTCACATATACAAATACAAATTATGCATATGCATATATAATTATATGAAAGATATACAAATACAATTAGTCTCTCTCCACTCTCTGTCGTCTCTCGCTCACATATCTCCTCCTCCTCCCAATCTCACTTGCCTCTCTCAATCTCGTTAGCCAGATATACAAATACTCTAGTTACATATATACAATTATCCGACAAATATACATACACAGTTCGCCTCTCTCCACTCTTTGCCTTCTCTCGCTCACCTCTCTCCTCCCTCTCCCAATCTCGCTCGCCAGATGTATACCAGTTACATATATACAATTATTTGACAGATATACATATACAATTCGTCTATCTCCACTCTCTACCCTCTCTTGCTCGTCTCTCTCCTCCCTCTAACATGTAGCTACGAATCGTAATTAGCAAACTATAGCTATTAAGCATAATTAAGTTATTTTTGAGTGGCTATATGCAAAAATTACCCTATTATTTTTATAAATTTATGTAATGGCCCAAGAAGTATGATATACAGGCTTAACGAGACTATGGTACTCTTGATTCTTTACACAAATAACCACTTTCATGGCCTTCTATTTAAAAGTTGACCTGTTGAAATTTTAAACAAAGCACTTAAACTGGAGTTTAAAAATTAAAACAATATCTTAATCATTGATTTAATTTTTTAAAACTTGGTTAATTTCTAAAGGCAAGGCCAAATGGAAAATGATTACTTGGTATAAATCAGGAAATTTTACGTAAATATATCATTCGGTTATTTAGTTTACTAATATGATCGTAGTGTATATATATATAATTTGCACATATTTGTAAAATTAGATAGTCCAAATTAAAGACATTAAATTGTAATTTTGCCAGTCCCACTTTAGAAGTTAGGAAGTCTAGTAATTGACTTTTTACAATTTCGTCATTATTTATTCTTGATATCTTTGATTTGTGGGTTTCATTTTGATTTGCATCTAAGAAAAAGACAAGAGTACAAGCCTATAAGTTTAAACAAAAATATCTTCGGAATATGAGTTTTAAGTAATATATTTTGATTCGTTGTCAACTAATATTTCTATCTCACAAAATAGAATAAGGTTGACGTAGATCTCACTTTCCATACTTCACTTGTTGAAATATACTACATATACATATGCTATTGTTGGTACCAGGAAAAATTGGAGATTGGTTAAGAAAGACTATCTACTAAAACTATTACTTATTATACTTTAATTCTTTTTTACTTCTTGTTCTATGTTTAATATCCAATTGGAGTTTCGTGTAATATGCATGAATTTGTGTTTTATAAGGTTTATTAAAGAAAAAATTGCTTCTTAACATGATTTTTTTATATTCAAGGCTCAAACTTGAAATCTCTTATTCAAGATAGAAATTTTTTATCATTTCCACCATAGCCTTTGGTGAGATGCATTATTTTATAATTTGAAAGAACTAGAATGAAGTGATTGTGTTGAGTCCAATGTGAGCTATGGGAAGGGAGTTTGTGTATGGGGTAAAAATCATGCCTTAAGAATAGAACAAATAAATTAGACCGTGATACATGGTAAAATCAAGAATAAGAAAGTGTGTTTTACAACCCGGGGAGATTGGGAAGGATCATTCCCAATGCGATGTGAGACGCTTCAATACTTGGCCATATAAAGTTGTCTCGAGATCAGGATTCCTATAGGACCTTTCCTGGGAAAAGTCACCTTACAGTTAAACACACCTTCATAATGACTTTCAGAGAGATCAATAATCAATTATCTCGAGTCTTGCATCAGCCTACCCCCAATAATTAAGTTTCAGGCAAACCATCACTATGTAGACATGTACATGTGTTACTAGATAATCTTTTCAGTGCTGAATGTGCATTCATTTCACATTGAAGCGACAATTTGACTTTTATGGGCTATAAGAAAAGCCTCTTAGAAGAATAGAAGGTATAAGAAAATCCAAAAAGGTAATACAAGAGCTTTCAATCTTGTTCATGGGAGAAACTCTAAACCTTCTGCTCACTTGTATACTCTTTTTTCTTTTTAATATATATAGATTAAACTCGTGTATTTGTTCATCACCTTGATCTTTCATCACAAAGAAAATGAACTTGAATCGACCTTAGAACTTATCTTTAACTCTTTTTTACAAATTTAACTATTAATCAAAATAAGGTTTTTCCCCTTAAACATTTTGGATTCTTTTATCGAGTTGAAAAATCTCCACGTCTCATACGCTAGTTTTAGAGATTGAATTAAATAATGCTCATTTTTTTAACATGACATCAGAATCAAACTTATCCCAAATCATTATTTAATCTAATGTTTAGCCTCCATCTTAATATTGTCCACGTTTCGAAATCTATTTTATTTCTTGCAAAATAAAATTTTGATTAGGTCGTCATTTCGTACGTACATATTGGCCAAGTCTACTCTCTTTGTCTAGCTCCTTATAACAATTATAATAAAATCTCACTAAAATAACATTATGAAAATTTAAAATTGAATTATTAATTAAATATTTTTTAAAATGTCATTTTTCTTAATACTAACAAACAAAAATAAATAGCACATCAATAAAAGACATCGAGCAATAACCATTTCTTTGGGAATGTAGTGTGAACAAAAAATAAAATAAAATATAGAGGAGTCTCTTTCAGATAGATATCCTATCTTTTTTCTTCCATTTCTTTTCTTTCATGATTAACAGTCTGATTGGTCGAATTTCTAAAATTAACTTATATTCAAAAATGCTTTTGAAAAAAAAGTATGTTTGGTAAAAAAATAATTTTTTGTTTGCCTAATATAAATAAAAATACTTTTAAGCAACAATTAGTATTTAATCAAGCTTTTAAAAAATATTTTAAGTGTATTTTTTAAAAAAAATATTCGTTAAAAAAGTATTTTTAGAAAAAAACAATTTTTTTAATTTCTGAAAAACAACTTCTGGTACTTCTAAAAATACTTATTCACCCGAAAACTTGGTTAAACTTCTCACTCTTCAAAAACACACACTTTTTTAAATTAAAAATAAGCTTTAGCCAAATAAGTCATGGTCAATTCTTGTAAAAGTTCAAGATGATAATTAGTGTTGTTTCTAATCATACTCTTATTGAAAAATACTTCTTTTTAATAGTGTTCATTCTCCAAAAACATCTAAATAAGAAATAACTCATTAAACTATAACTTTCTATTGTATTTTTTTTTTTAATAAACATGAAAAAATTAAAATAATACTACTTATTTTGGTACTGAGAAAGTATCAATATAATCTTGTGATAGTTGATTTACTTATTGCTTTGACAACAATGATGTTATTTTATCCTCCTTAAAAAAAAAAAAAGGGAGAGGAATGACCACAAGATGTTGATATTGAGGTGCGTAAGGAAAATGTTTTTTTTTTCAGAAAAAAAAGAAGAAGATTTATTTATTCATTTGTATTTAATATATATATATATATATATATATATCTATAAGAAAAGCCTCTTAGAAGAATAGAAGGTATAAGAAAATCCAAAAAGGTAATACAAGAGCTTTCAATCTTGTTCATGGGAGAAACTCTAAACCTTCTGCTCACTTGTATACTCTTTTTTCTTTTTAATATATATAGATTAAACTCGTGTATTTGTTCATCACCTTGATCTTTCATCACAAAGAAAATGAACTTGAATCGACCTTAGAACTTATCTTTAACTCTTTTTTACAAATTTAACTATTAATCAAAATAAGGTTTTTCCCCTTAAACATTTTGGATTCTTTTATCGAGTTGAAAAATCTCCACGTCTCATACGCTAGTTTTAGAGATTGAATTAAATAATGCTCATTTTTTTAACATGACATCAGAATCAAACTTATCCCAAATCATTATTTAATCTAATGTTTAGCCTCCATCTTAATATTGTCCACGTTTCGAAATCTATTTTATTTCTTGCAAAATAAAATTTTGATTAGGTCGTCATTTCGTACGTACATATTGGCCAAGTCTACTCTCTTTGTCTAGCTCCTTATAACAATTATAATAAAATCTCACTAAAATAACATTATGAAAATTTAAAATTGAATTATTAATTAAATATTTTTTAAAATGTCATTTTTCTTAATACTAACAAACAAAAATAAATAGCACATCAATAAAAGACATCGAGCAATAACCATTTCTTTGGGAATGTAGTGTGAACAAAA